CATTACTCATACTTTCTCTTTCATTTAATTTCCCTAAAATAAATCATCCTGGTGAAAGCACTGTCAGCCATTTTCTATCCCTGACAGTGCTTCCATTGCATCAAAACACTAAGGGGGTTGTCTGTGTCTCGTGCATGTGATTAATCTTTGGTTAGCCTTCCTTCACACCCTACTCTAAGCACATGGAAAATATGTGGCCTTTCTGACCAAGGATCTAGCCAGAGAAGCCTCACTATGTGATGTTGAGTCCTGGAACCAATCACCAAAAGTTCAGAGGACAACAGGAAGTCAGGGTCAGGCCACTGACCCCATGCATTCCTGTTTTTCAGCTACTGCTTTATTCTTGACTCTCCACCCCTCTTACCATTTTCTTTCCTTGGCCCTTTTCCTCTCCACCCTCCCCATCTCTCCCTCTGTCATCCTGTTGCCCTCTGTCTCCCAGCCATTCCACTGAGCCAACACTGCAGGACCTATTTTCATCTGTTTGTCTCCTCCTCTCCATCTGTTAGGAGCACTTATGTTTCCCCCTTTTCCCTTCCTTTTGACATTTATTTAACTATCTCCAACTACGTTCTTTATTTCTAACTAAGCAGTTCCTCTGTGCCAGTTTTAGTTACTGGAAGTCAGAGATAGTAACCACATTTCCTAGCCTGGGGTCATATTAAATATTTAGCCCAAACCTGTTTAGTAGGACAACAAAGCTCTAAGAGCTTTTTCACCATGAGGAGAGAGAGATCCTCCTCCTAAAACAAGTGGAGTTTCAGATAAAATACTGCAGAGCTACGTGACTGAAGAAATCTAGGTTAGCACTCTACTGCTAATAGTCAAAGCATCAAAGTTATGGTTTTAACCCATTCATTGTATAAATATACCTTTACAATGTCAAAACTACATGTGAAGACAATTGTTGAGTTACTTAATGCATTTCTCAAACCTGCCTATAGATATTGAGCCACCTATATTGGGAAACCACGGCATATCCCACTGATGCCATGCCTGCTCTCCCATTTAATCCCTCACCTCACTGGCTGAGTTCATAAGGTGCTTCCTGCTGAGTGTCATGTTGAGTGTGTTGTTGTGACTCAGCATGGGTGTCTTCATGAATACAAAGTCACTCCGGCTGGATAAGGTGGAGTAGCAGGGTCTGTAGGTGCGTGTGTGTGGGTCCTGAGAGCCTCCCACAACCTCCATATAGCGTATAGGTCCATCAGTATTGAGCTGAATCTGCAGGTCTTTGCTGGGCCTCTGATGGTAGCGGCTGGGCCTGTGGCGACCGTAGCAGCAGCAGTCAGAATCTCCCAGCCCTGGGCCACGGTGCCTTAGGCAGCGTACCATGAGGATGACAAAGGTGATGAAGGACACAGCTGATACACAAGCTAGGGAGATGATGAGGTACAGGGTGATGTCCGACATCCCAGTGCGGTTGGAGAAAGGTGTGTGATGAGGCCTTGCTGGAGCATCGTTGTCTGCGCCCTTTTCATCCACAGTGACTGTAATGTTCACAGAACTGGACTTTGGTGGGTCACCGTTGTCCTGAATGATGATCACAATGTCATAAGTCGAGCCCGCTTCCTCCTCAGCCCACTTGCGGGCTGTGCGGAGCTCACCGGTGTGTGCCCCAATACGAAACATGCCAGCATTTGGTCCAGGGGCGATGGAGTAAAACAACCATGCATTGTGCCCACTGTCTGGATCCACCCCTACAAGTTTATTTATGTAGTGCCCTGGGCCGGCAGATGGAGGCACAGTGAGCTGTAAGCTTTTGTCTTTTGGGAAGGAGGGGTGTACAACCACTGGTGCATTGTCATTTACATCCACCACAAACACATGCACAGTGACGTTAGCTGTCCGTGGGGGCACCCCAGCATCCCGGGCCTGCACCTCAATACGGAAAGCTTTAAGCTGTTCATGATCTAGAGAGCGCATGCTGTAGATGTGGCCACTCTCTGGGTTAATGTAGACATAAGAAGAGATTGGTGAACCCTGGACCATGCTGTGAAGTATGGAGTAGGAAATGCGAGCGTTGTCACCAAAGTCTGGATCAGTGGCTGAAACTGCAGTGATTGGGGCACTGGGAGCATTGTTCTCTGGGATGTCCACAGAGTATGAAGGCTGAGAGAAAGTGGGGGCGTTGTCATTTACATCAGAAAGCTCCACCACAAAGGTGGTTTGTGATGACAGGGGAGGGGAACCAGCGTCAGTGGCCTTGATGACCACTGTGTACTCTGGGACAGTCTCACGGTCCAGGTTCCCAGTAGTGATGAGACTGTAATGCATGCCAAAAGCTGAATTAAGTTTGAAAGGCAAACCTGGTTGGACAGTTAATGTAACCTTCCCATTCACACCAGAGTCCAGGTCCCGGGCACTTATAAGCGCTATCACAGTCTCTGGTGCTGAGTCCTCTCGGATGGGACTCTTCAGTGATGTCAGTGTCACCTCTGGTGCGTTGTCATTTGCATCAATGATGTCTACTATGACGTTACAGGAGCCCTCCATAGCTGGAGAGCCACCATCTCTGGCCTGCACTGTGATGTGGTATGCAGCGGCTTTCTCATAATCCACATCACCCTTCACGCGGATCTCCCCGCTTTTAGAATCCACACTGAAAAGACTGACAACGCGTTCCGGTGTGTATTTACTAAATAGAAACGATATGTCTCCGTTGCTACCCGAATCCGCATCAGTCGCGTTCAGTTTTGTTACTAAAGTGCCCCGTGCAACATTTTCTAATAGTTTAACTTTCTTAACCGGCTCGTCAAAGACGGGCGCATTGTCATTTACATCCAGAATTTTAATGAGCAGAAGTGTTGAGCCAGATCTTTCCGTCTGTCCCCCATCTACAGCAGTGAGCAACAGGCGAAACGAGGCCTGCGTCTCCCTGTCCAAAGCTTTATCCACCACTAGCTCTGGAAACTTACTGCCGTCACTTTTAGATTCCACATTCAATATAAAGAAGTCATTTGCTGCGAGATGGTAAGTGCGTAAAGAGTTGGTCCCCACGTCTGGATCATGTGCGCTCTCCAAACGGAACCTGGTCCCCGGCGCCGCCGCCTCTGATATTTCCAGAGAAATGTTGCTGGTTGAAAACTGCGGCGCATTGTCATTCACATCCAGAATGTCCACCACGACGCGTTGAATGTCTAAAGGATTCTCCAGAAGTATTTGAAGGTGTAGTGAACACGATGAACTTAATTCGCACATTTGTTCTCTGTCTATTCTTTGTTTAATAACCAAATCTCCGGTCGCCTGCTTTACCTCAAAATACTGCGTTGTGGATTCGGAGACCACCCGCAACTTCCTTTGAACAATCCCCTCAGCAGTGAGACTCAAATCTTTAGCGATATTCCCAACGACAGAGCCCGGGCTTAGTTCCTCCGATACAGAATAGCTGAGCTGAGCGGACGCACAGGAGAGGCACGCTAGATAAACGCAGAGCCTCCACAGCCTCCCTCCTCCGGAGCGCTTCCTCTGTCCGGAGTCCATTGTGCTGCGCTCCGAGGATCGGAGAATGGGAAAGTTTTTAACTTCTTCTTTCACCGTAACGTATCCATAGTAGTGTTAAAACGACGCGGCCAGTCTTGATGATAAACATTTCCGCTTTAAAAATAGATCTATGGGAAGTTTTGATGTGATCATGACGGCCGTTTTTTAAGAGAAAACGAGGACGAAAATCTGAGTATTTTCTGCCTCCAGTGAAACTCTCTGCTCCGTCTCCTCCGACTCACTCCCCTCGTGGGCGGGGAGAGGCCACAGAGGCCTTCCCTCTCATTGGAAGACAGGGCTGGACCAGCTCACTCACACACATCACACACACAGAGTGAAAACTTTTCACTGACTCCACTTCCACTGACAGGCAAGTATCAGCTTAATTCTCACTGCATAAGTTTGAGAGGACAACAGAAGAAGAACAACAAAAGGAGGAATATGTCACGATTGTGGGAAATGCAAGTTTACATAATCCAAGAAAATATATGTTTCTTTCTTCTTGTCATACCGTTGAAAAACTGAGTCACGTGCTGTCATTGAGAACTCCTAATAGTCAAAACACACCAGCCTACCAAGCAGCTGTTATTTATAGCAATGCTATTTGTATCCGCAGGGGGGCATGGTTTCCAAACTGGCATTTCCTCTATCTACACCCTAAATCTGTATCAAAGGGAAGTTTAAATATATAAACAAAATTAAAGATTTTATGGAAGCTATAGAAACGCAAAGCAGCAGACAATTTGAAAATACAGGAAATGTAGCCCAATATGAAGAGCATTTTTTTTGTTTTTGTAGAAGAAACAAAAATTAAGCTAAATTAAAGATGTTGCGAACAATACAAAAGAATGTATAAATTGGCCAATGAAAGAATGTTGGCCAGACAAATAGTGATGAAACCCTATTCTTCTTCCTTTAGTCTGAACATTTAATTTTTTTGATTTTAACATAAATAATGTATCTGTAATGTATGTTTGTATGTAGGAAATTGGCGATATTATGTTTTAGCTAAGGTATAGTCATTCCCTGAAATAAAACATCACCATGTTATTATAGCATATTAACAAAGCCAAAGTAGCATATATGTATGTATGTTTATATTGTACAATACCTGAATACAAACATATATAAAACAAAAAAACGTGCTCTGTAATGTGTATTTATACAGAGTTTGTGCGATTTGGTTTCCATGACAAAGAAACAGTACACACTTTTCCTGTGATCACCCATAGTCAAGCAAAGGAAAACAGAAAGAAATCGCAAAATACAAAACGGGACAAGGAGAACTCTGTTCCGACCACGTTTGTAGATACAATATCACACAATGCCATGTGGATTTCTGCTCACCTGGTGGGCTCCTCAACGGTCCAAGGTGGCTGTCGGGTAAAAGACGCATTCCAGGGACACCTGATACACCTCCTTAAAGTCGAGTGGTGCTGCTGGGTTTAATCCAAAGTGAAATCACTGTACTCTGACATCGGAACATTACCAGGACCTGAAGGACTGACTCTGAGACATCATTGTCTCTCCCAGGTGACCTCCACGTACTTTATAGGTCCATCAGTATTGAGCTGAATCTGCAGGTTTCTGGGTTCTTGTACATCGATCACAGTCAGGTCCGTCTCATGCAGCAGACTACCGGCTGCTTCTGCTGCTCCTATCTGCATTTAACCGCTACAGATGAAAAAGTCACCAGAGACATGCACGAAGCCGAGGCCAGAGAAAGAATCAAATAAAGGGGGTCGACTTCTCCCAGTTTTCTTGCCTGGCTCGGCCGCTTTCTGTCGGAGGTCTAAGAGGGCTGCATGATGCCGTCCTCCAACAGATGGAACTTTGAGCG